TTTCCTTCTGAACTTGTTCCTCATTAGGTACACAGCTAGGGCCCACAACTACAACCGCTCCTTTCTGCCAACTCCATCACTACTGGCCAGACCCCATCTTCCTTGTCCACAGACCTCTCTCCGTCACCCTAAGCCAAAGTGGACTGGAAAAATGATTCACTTATTTTCTCTTGGATTCCCTCATCAGAATTCAGCCTGGGAAGTCGTAAAGATATTTGTGGAAGAGAAGTGGTAGGGAACCAAGGCTAGGCTTCATCTTCCACTCACCTGTCACAAGTGATCTCACACATACACCCTCAACAAACTCTAGTGGCTCTCTATCATCTCCAGGATCAAAAAAAAAAATCCTTTGGCGTTCCAAGTCCTTCATAACCTGCCCCACCACACACATTTTCAGTCTCCTTCCACCTTCCACCCCACCACAGACCCAGTGACAAAGGTCTCCTTGTTCTCCCACAAGACACTCCATCTCCTGGATCCTGCCTTCTACAAGGAAGCCTTTCCTAGTGCCTGCCCACTACGGATGACTGCTTATTAGATTATCTAATTAGATTATCTCTAACTTATACTGTAGATAGCTTCCTTGTACATAGTTGTTTAGACCAGGGATTCTAAACTTTTTCCTCTTGGGAACCCATTGTTCACATTTCAGAAGAATTGCATAGCCTGAGGGCAAGTACAGGGCAAAGTGTGCATGCTGTGTGTTCAGAACCAAGACTGCAGTGAAGTTGTGTGATACAATATGGGCAAGAGCTGTCAGAAACACCTCGGATTCATTAGGCGTTTGATTTTTAACTAATTTTTGGTCATTGTGCATTCAGAATCTCTTTACTGTTGCCAAATTTTTCAAAACCCCATATGGGGTTGCAACCCACAGTTTAAGAAACCCTGGTCTAGACTGTGAGCTCCTTGTATGAAGGGATGGTCTTGTCTTTCTCTACATCCACAGTGCCCAGCACAGTGCCACGTACTAGATTAATAAATACTTACTACCAGTGGAGGAAATATGATGAGTGAACCTGTTGAGATCATTAGTCCAAACTCCCCTCCCTATAGATGAGGAAACTAGTACCCAAAATTGTGAAAAAATTGTCCCACGTTCACACTGCTGGAGAGTAGCAGGTGAGCATTCATACACAGGTCCTCTGACTACATCCAGTGCTCCTTTGATCATGCCATGTTGTTCAATAGCAGTTTAAAAAGCTATAAAGAACAGTTACACTTTACAAGACTATATTTTGGAAGAGAGAGAGAGAGGGTGTGTTTGTGTGTGTGTGTGTGTGTGTGTGTGTGTGTGTGCAAAATTATTTGAACTGAGTCAAAACTAGCTCTCAGTTTATTTACTAAACTTTTGATCCTAGTCGAGTCATGTAACCTTGGAATGCCCCCAAACAACACTAAGACTATAAAGTGCAGAGAAATCCCAGCTTATTGGTAAAGGAAATTTCTCACCTGGAACTCCCTATACTAATTAAAGCAGAGGTTCAATCCTGCCTACCCTTCCTTCCCTGACCAATTACATATACAAATAAACATACATACATACATACATATGTACATAAAAGAAGAGATAATGTTTTGAGAAAGATAATAATTTCCTTTTATTTTCCTAGGGTTTTTTTTTTTTAACAGTTGTAGGGGGAAGAAGCATCATTCAAAATTTTTAAATGGAGGGTAATTCTTAGAAAAATACAGAGAAACCCAGAATATATCGTTTGTCACTTTTTCTACAATCTATATGCTTAAAATTAAAGTTGTTTTTCAGTCATGTCTGACTCTTTGTGATCCCATTTAGGGTTTTCTTGGAAAGGATACTGGAGTGGCTTGCCATTTTCTTCTCCAACCCATTTACAGATTGAGGAACTGAGGCAAACAGGGTTAAGTGACTTGCCCATGGTCACAGAGCTAGTAAGATTCTGACGCCAGATCTGAACTTAAGAAGAGAAGTCTTCCTGACTTCAGGCCTGGTACTCTATCCACTGTGTCACCTAGCTGCCCAAAAAACTAAAGTAATATAATATTACTACCCAGTTCTTGAAATAGAACAAGATAAGGAAGGATGTACTCCTACTTTATTTCAAGAGAGCCTGAAACCATCTCTTTCAGTGAATGTGCCTAGAAACTTCCTGTGATTATACTCATCTTAGATCTTTGGCAATCTCACTTTTTTCTCCCCTCATTTAAAATACACTTATTTAAAATACACTTATAAATAAGATGAACATTATCCAGTCCTCTAAAGTTGATTTATTTATCTTCTTTCTTCCAGACCTCAACAAAGAAATAAAACAGATGGCCTCTCCACACTTTATGAAAGGAGGGCAATGTGATTGTCCAATCTCCTGGTTCTGTGTTCCAGTAACTAAAGTTTTACTTGGGTGTGCAGATAACCTTTTCTCTTCTCTGTGTTAATGAATTTTTTTAAAAAAAAAAGTATATGTAGGATGTAGTGAATTTTTCACTACAGCAAGAATCTGCAAATTTTGACAGAATTCATTCTTTCTCATTTTCAGTCAGCAAACACACTAATAGTTTTTGTCTTACCCCAGCTTGTCATCTCTATTCTGAATTAACCGGCTTCATCTAACTACTGATATTTTTGTCTCTTAAAGTGAAAGAGAAGCTGAGTATCCATTCTTTCTGGCTTCCTGGATCGTGGTAGCAGAAATCACACCTTCTCTCTGCTCTTTGAAGTTCCACCAGAGACTGATGTAATGTGATATGCACACTAGGCATTCAGAAAACATTTATCTTAATCATAGCTTTGGCCTTTCATCCTCTTAATGCTTACTGGCCCATATACATTTATTTGTATATACATACATACTTACACATATGCATACACATATATATTCATACACATAAGTATATAGCTATACTACACATTATATATACACGTGCATGTAAAATCAGTTCTGCTATAATGCACGTTTCAAAAATGCGAATTTGTTACAAGATTATTACAATTAAGCTTCTGCATAATTTTCTCCTTAAGAAAGGTTAAGGATGCAAGAAGCTACACCACTTTATAATAACTCAAATACCCACTGTGATGCCCACTTCTACAAGCACATTTCATGTTTTCATCAAGGGGAAGAGCCATATTTATTGTGTATCTTCTTGTGCAGGAGAGAAGCTGTGGGCAGAGAATGGCTGGTTTACACCACCCCCATCTGCCATGGTCTACGACGCCTGGTGGGGGGTTAGACTTGGCTGATATTTATTGTAGGATTTATGTATTTATTTAACCATTTTACATGATAAAACTGTGCTACCATTTTTACAAGTTCCTACCTTTTTTTTTTAAATGTGTCACTAAGTTTTTGAGTGTTGTGTCTCTAACCTTATTTTCCCCATAAGTTCTGTGGTTTTTATTTTGTAATACTGCATACAGCAATATTTGGGGGTGGGGGAACACATTCACATTATAACAAAATTGCCTGTATGTATACATGTGTGCATACCTATATGCATACATATACATATGGGTACACACACATATATACTGTGCATAGATATTTGTATTTGTATCCTCAGGGAGTAGTACATTGTCTGACACACAATAAGCATTTAATAAATGCCCAGGAATTAATTACAAAGACAAAATACACTTGACAAAATACAAAACAGTAAGTAAAGCTGGAAAAACTTGACAGTGGAAAAAACCAAGATATTCTCTTTGCCTCAAAGGTAAAGACATGAACTGATCAAATTTAGCTCATTTCTTATGATAAAGTGAAACACAAAAGTAGCTCCTACAGTTATAACCTAATGCTTACATCATCTGAATCAATCTAATATAACCTAATATAATTCAGAAGAAGAGTATTTCTTCTGGCTAGGTGGACACATTTGCCTGTATACTATGTATGATTAAAGAGGTAAGAAACCACCTAAAATTAGATAATATAGCTCAATTACAAGGAAAGCTAGAAAAAGAAAAAAACACTCAAATTTATCTGATATGAAGAAAATTTATCTTGATCTTTAACAAAAACAAATACAACAACAAAGAGGAAAAAGTCAAAAGGCCAAAAGAATTTCCAATTTGCCTAGAGGGTGAAAGGTTGCCACAGTAAATTAAGGACATACAGATAAAAAATTAGGGACATCATGTAAAAAAACTACTATTGACTATATAAAAATAATATTCATAAAAACTTGATATATGCTTCTCGGGGAAGGGAACATTTCCCTTCCATTTTTGTCTTTTTATTCTCAGCCACTAACTAGCTCAATGCAAGGCATACATCAGGTATTTCATAAATGCTTATTCATTCATTTATATGAGTACTTGATAAACCAAATATTACTTATATTAGTAATATGACACATTTCCTAACACATTTCCTTCCTAAAGGGAAATAACCAATCCCTCAATGAAAGAATATCACTTGTAATAATTTTCAAAGGTAGCAGCAAACATCTAAAAATCTATAAAATTATTTTGTATAATCACTATTTTATGTTTTTTTTAAGGTGGAAATAAAAACAAGCAACACAATTCTTATTTGATATTTACTCTTTTCCTCAGTATTTGCTTATTTGGTTAGCAAGTGCAGTTAGCAGCAATGCAATTAATGACTAGGATTGGGGAAATTCAAGAAACTAAATTCTGAAGGCAAGAAGAGAAAGCTAGTCAGAGATAACCCAAGAATCACAATGGTAGCATCTAAGCACGCCAAGAGTAAGTAGAGAGAGGAGAGAGGCTCTCGAGCTTAAACAAGATAATGGAAGTAAAAGGAGACATTTTTATCCTTGGTCAATAGGTACATAATAAAAAGCTAAGTTCAGTTAATATCAAAGAACTTAGCACTAATATTAGGTTGCTATTTGATTTATTAACATTTGATGGGGGGGAAGACTAAGGATTTCAAAAACTATTGTTAACTAAAATTACCTGGCAAATATTCATTTATTTTATTTCAATACTTTCCACAGAGAATAATAAACTTTTATTCATTTCTATAACCCAATTAATTTGTGATGATTTATGATACCTGTGGATTTATTTGATGCTCGCCTTCGAATTTCAGTCACCATTAGACGTGAAACTTGTGTTGTAAACTGTAGAAGATCAGAAAATTTTTCTGTCATTGTATTTGGTGGAGCATTTCCAAAAACCTGCAAATGACAAAACATGATTTTAAATCAAACAGTTCTCTCTATGAATTTATTTTTCCCATGTATTTTATAAAATACAACATTAAAACCAGAAAGTATACTTATATTAGATCAAATTGGGAGTTATCAAAATTAATTCTTTTTCACGTATTCAAAGATTGTGAATGAATTCCATTAATCTATAGAAAACAGGGATACTGGGGCAGCTAGGTGGCGCAATAGATACAGCACCGGCCCTGAAGTCAAGAGGACCTGAGTTCAAATCCGGCCTCAGACCAAACACTTGACACTTACTATCTGTGTGACTCTGGGCGAGTCACTTAACACCAATTGCCTTAAAAAAAAAAAAGAAAGAAAGAAAGAAAACAGGGATATTGTTTCATGGAGAAAACATGAAGATTTCTTAAAAGTAATTTTTTAAGGTTCTCTGAAGATAAACAATTATATCATCTGGGAACCAACAATGATTTATCTTCTTGGTGGGTCCAGAGGTAGATATGGAGATTAAGAAATTGAAGGAATTCAATGTCCACCTTATATGAAATTTCAGGTTCTAACCAACTCAGAGAATGAACAAATCAAAAAAGGACAAAGTACCATGAGGTAAACCTACTCTTACAAAGTAGACTACAAAAAAAGCAAAGGATTCCTGATAAAACTGAAATTATTCTCTGTTTAAGAGTACCAGCAAAATGAAACCTAGAATACTTTAATACAGAACAATTACAGGGGCAGCTAGGTAGTGCAGTCGATAGAGCACCTGCCCTGAAGTCAGGAGGACCTGAGTTCAAATCCGGCCTGAGACCAAACATTTGACATGTACTAGCTATGTGACCCTGGGCAAGTCACTTAATCCCAATTGCCTAAAAAAAAAATAAAGAAAGAATTAACAAGTAAAGAAAAAACATTTTTTCAATAATAAATAAAATACCGTGCTATACATTCTCTAGGTTCAAAACAAATGCTTGAAGGCCACTAACTGCTTTCACCATCCATAAATAATTCATTTCTCTGTCTCTATCTCTCTTAGCACTTTGTCCCTACTTGTCCTTATCTCTCTTAAAGCACCTGTCAGATATTACTTTCTATCAGTTATCTCACTCAGTCTTACCAAGGAATCCTGGCTAAGTTGTATTACAATACAACCCAATACAAGTTGTATTGGGAGTCAGATTAGAATCCTGATTCTAGCTAGCACTTACTAGCTAGCTAGGTATTGGTGGGAAATGAACAAACTGGGCCCCATTTTCCTCATCAGTAAAATGGGGATAATAATATTTGTAATACTTATGTCACAGGAGTGTGGTGAGGCCCAAATGAGACAATGTTTATAAATAAAGTGTTTTGCAAATCCTAAAAAAAAAAGTTATTATTTCTGAAGAGTGCTGGATTTGATATTGGAGGAACTGGAAAATTTGGTTTTGAAATCTAACATTATCACTATTACTTTGGACAAATCTCTCTAGGCCTTTGTTTCTATAACTCTAAAATAAGATGACCTCTTAAGTCTTTGAAGCACCTAAGGGCATTCCTTGCACTTTCTTGCAAAGGCAATGATGTTTATAAGATCTTGAAGTAAGTGAACCTAAGTAGACCAAGATGTCGACTTTTACATTCCCCAGCTAGAAAACTGTAAAGAGTTTCTAGTCATATTATAAGAGCTTCCAAACCAATGTCCCTGACTTGAGTCATCCTCTTCTTCACCATACCTTTCACCTAATTCCTAAAATGATTGTCGTGGATGATCTGTCAAGACCCATGGTCCATGCCACTTTTAATGACTATCCATTATCTACAGAAGACAAACATTTTGCCTAACATTTAAAGTTTCTACAATCTCTTTCCAACCTAAATTCACATTACTCCTTCTCACATTGAAATTTACAAATCGGCTCTTCAATATCGTTCTGCCCACTCTTAAGAATTTGTGCAAGCAAATACCAGATTAAAGGCTGCATCAAATAACTAAGTTCCCATTGTGATTTTAATAAAACTTTAATCTTGAAGAAAAAGTTATTTTTGAGTTTAAGTTGTGTTTATATTTACAGAATATATGTTGGTGCTCATTTGCCAGCGTAGGAGAGTATAATGTTTTACACTGTGGTGAGTAATTAATAATAATTGAGGAAACTGGCAGAATGAATGGGTCAGTAGACTCCCCCCAGTCAGTCCAAAGCCCTAAGTACAGAGTAAAGCAGATTTTTATACACAAAAAACAATTAATCAAATAAGTCCAATTAATTATAATAAAAATAGTCAACCAGGATAAAAGCCAGAATACAAAATTAGGTAATCTAATTTCTAATTGGACAAAAGATTAGAGGCTTTCCAAGTTGGGAGGGGGAAAGAGTAAGTTTCAGTTGAGTTTCAGAATCTTCTATTCACAAAATGAAAGATGTTGATTAATTGCATCCACCTGCATGTATAAAACAATAGATGGCTTATATAGTCTAATTTCCCATGGATGAATAACAGAAAAACAACAAGATGGAGAATACATATGGCAGCACAAGACGAAGTCAGTATTCACAAGAGATAATCTGATTAGATCTCCTGATTCTCATCCTAAACTGATTGCGTTTTGTACATGGTCTTCATTTTATCTTATCAACACCATTAGTAGATTTGTTGACTACTGTACTTTACAAAATACAATGTAGGTATTTGATTAAAAAAAAAAGTGTGCTATCTTCATTCTTAAAAATGACAAATTCAGAATTTGCATGTTTCAAAAGTATACATATATTATCTCTTGGCCCAATTTTCTGAATCTCTCCACCCAAGAGAAATGGCTTATTATAAAACTGAGAAATTGTAATTCAAAATGTGTTGGCTTATTGTGTCATTTACATACATCTCAACAACAAATATAATGATTTGCAGGTAAAAAAAAAATTACAAGTAATTACCCAGGCATGAAATGTGTTCCTTCTCTGTCAAAATCTTTTGCTTCTCCTTCAAGAACCTATTTAGGCCTCCATGAAGCCTTCCCTGATTCATCTAGCTGATTCATCCTTGTCAAGTTTTCTTAGAGCACTATCTCCACATCTCCTTTGCACTATCACATTCTGCCTTGTGTTACATCTATCTGTCTTTAGGTCTGTGTTACACGTATTTGAATTTAGGTCACATTTGTCCCCGTCCCCAGAGCAGAACATAGGCTCGCTGAGGTTGGGTATTGAATTATTTTTTTGTCATGATATTAGTACAACACTTTACATAGAGTAAACTCTGGGGTTATAGGGAGAGGTCCATCTAGATCTATCTCTCTGTCTGATAACTGGTGAGGTTTAGGTAGGCCACCATTTAGTAGACAAACATATATTAAGGACCTATTAAATAGAGCCAGGCACTGTGCTAAGCACCGAGGACATAAAGAAAGGCAAAAGCCCTCGGGGATCAGTCTAATGGGGAAAACAACATGCAAACAACTATATACAGATAAGAGATACACAGGGCAAACTGGAGATAATCAATTGAAAGAAGGCACTAGCATTCAGGCAGATCCAGATAAACTTCTTCTAGAAAGTGAGGCTTTAAGTAACTGAGGAAAACCAGGAAATGGAGATGGGGAGGGAGAGAATTCCAAGTACAGGGAACAGTGAAAATACTCAGAGTAGGGAGATCATGTGTCTTATTTGAGGAAAAGAAAGGAGGCGTGTGTCACTGGATCATAGAAATATGGGGTGGTAGAGAGGGGGAGGGCAGATCACAAAGTAAGAAGACAGGAAAGGTAGGAATGAGTACGGCCTCTGAAAGCTAAAGAGAGAATTTCATATTTGATCCAGGAGATGAGGAAGCCAGTGAATTTGACTGAATATGGGGCTAACATTGCCAGGGCTAGCCTATGCTTTAGGAAGATCAATTTGACAGCTAACTTAAGGATGAATTAGAGTAAGGAGAAATGTGAGTCAGGGAGACCAATCAGCAGCCTAGTGCAACAGTCCAGGAATGAACAGATGAGGGACATATAGCAGTGTCAGAGGAAAGAAGGGAGGGTGTACCAGAGACGTCATAAAAGTCGACTTGCTAGAACCTGACAACAGACATGTAGTCTGCAAATCTAAGTGACTGGGATGAAGATGGTGCCCTCTACAGTAATATGAAAGTGATAGAAAAGAACAGGAGAGTACTTGTGGGGAGAATGGGAAAGAGGAGAGAATGAGCATTTCAATAGTGCCTGACATGTGCCACACTCTGTGCTAAGCACTTTACAAACACGGTCTCATTTGATCCTCACAACAGCACTAGAAGGTTGGTGCTGTCATCACTATCCCCCCTTTACAGCAGAGGAAATTGATGCAGTTTTTGACATGCTGAGTTTAAGATGTCTGCAAGATAAACAGTCAGAACTGCTCCAGAGGTATCTAGAGATCCAAGTATGAGGGTCATCTAAAAATGAGAAGTACCAAAATAACAAAAATCACAGGAGCTGATGAGATCAACCACCCAGTGAAATATTATAGAGATAGAGGAGAGCTCGGGACAGAGCTGCAAAGGATACCCACCATGTGTGGGCATGGCCTGGAAGAAAGCTAAATAAAGCAGAAGGAATAGGAGCAGTTCAACAGGTAAGAGAACCGGTATAGAGTCGTGTCATAAACACCTAGCACTATCAAGGAAAAAAGCGTGGTTGATCTACAGTACCAAAGGCAGCAGACATGTCACAAAAGGTGAGGACTGAGAAAAGGCTACCAGATCTGTCGATTCAAGAGATAACCGGTAACTTTGGAGAGTGCAGTTGCAATTGGATAAAGTGAGAAGTCAGACTGTAGAATAAAGAAGGTGAAAGGAAATGCAAGCAGCAACTGTACACCACCTTCTCAAAGAGGTTGGCCAAGTAAGGGAAGAGAAATTGAGGATGACAGCTGGCAGGGAAGGACAAACAAGTGAGGGGTTTTTGAGGATGGGGGAAATATAAGCTTGTTTGTAGGTGGCAGGGAAGCAGCCAGGAGGAAGGAGAGATTGAAGTTTGGTGAGAGAGTGGGGGAGACTGAGGA